GTTAGCCGAGCCTGGGAAATGACGGAGAGTGAATTGGAACTTGGAAAAAAAATCCGCCCAGCGCAGTTGCTTGGCATTCAGCGTTTTAGGCGATTTGAGGGTTTCAAGATTTTTATGATCCGTCCAAACTTCGAACGGAACCCTCGCCCCCTCAAGCCAATGGCGCCACATCGACAGAGCCAGCCGAATAGCCGACGCCTCCTTCTCCCAAATAGACCAGTGTCGTTCAGCGTCTGAGAATTTTTTAGAAACGTAAGCGAGTGCGTGCAGTTTCCCGTCCTCCCCCTTCTGTAAAATAGCAGCCCCCATAGCCACATCGGAAGCGTCAGTTTGCACAATAAATTTTTTCGTTTCATCAGGGTGTGCTAGCACAGGCTCGGACGTGAACATGCCTTTTAACCGCTGAAATGCCGCTTCGCATTCCGCCGACCATTTGAGAGGTGCCCCGGGTTTCGTGGCATCAAACCCCTTCCCCTTTGTTTTTAACAAGTCAGTTAGGGGTAGTGCAATCTGGGCAAAGCCTTTGATCAATGAGCGATAAAAATTGGCGAATCCTAAGAACCCCTGCAGTTGGCGGCGTGTTTTGGGGGCCTCCCATTCAACCACATCTTTCACCTTCCCAGGGTCCATCTCCAAACCCCCTCCCGAAATGCGGTAGCCCACAGAGTCAATGTGCGTTTTGTGGAATTCACACTTGGATAGTTTGGCAAACAGTCTGTGCTTATGCAACGTTTTTAGGACTTTTCTGACAAGTTTGACATGTGAGGGGAAATCCTGAGAGTACAGTAAAATATCGTCCAAGTAAATAATAACCCCCTTAAACAGGAATTCATGGAGGACCTCGTTAATCAAGTTCATGAAGACGCAGGGGCACCTTGCAGCCTGAAGGGCATTACCAGGTACTCAAATTGCCCCAAAGGTGTGTTGAACGCCGTTTTGCCCTCGTCCCCTTCCTTTATCCGCACTCTGAAATAGGCGTCGCGCAAATCGAGTTTCGAAAACACTTTCCCTTTGGACACCTCTGTTAACAGATCTTTTATCAAAGGAAGGGGGTAGGCGTTTGAGGTCGAAATAGCATTCAGTCCTCTATAATCCGTACACAAACGAAGGCCCCCGTCCTTCTTTTTCCGGAACAGGACGGGTGCAGCAAAGGGGGAGGATGCCGGTCTGATGAATCCCCTAGCCAGGTTCTTATCAATGAACTTCCGCAATTCTGCTTTTTCCGCGGGCCCCATTGCGTAAATTTTCCCCTTCGGAAGCTTGCACCCCGGAAGAAGCTCAATGCTACAATCAGTCTTACGATGGGGGGGTAACTCGTCAGCCTCTGCCTCCCCGAAAACCTGCGCTAGATCATGGTATTCCGGTGGAAGGGTAGAAGAAGAAGAAGAGAAGAGATTGGATTTATACCCCGCCCTTCACGTGGAGTCTCAGAGCGGCTTACAAACCCCTTTCCCTTTCCCTCCCCACAACAGACACCCTGTGAGGTGGGTGGGGCTGAGAGAACTCTGACACAAACTGCTCTTTTTCAAGGACAGCTGTGCCAGAGCTTGTGACTGACCCAAGGTCACATCAGCAGGTGCAAGTGGAGGAGTGAGGAATCAAACCCAGTTCTCCCAGATTAGAGTCCGCACACTTAACCACTACACCAAACTAAAAGAAATGGACACTGAAAAAAGAGGACATGCCCTCTAAAAAGAGGACATCCGGTAACCCTACTATAGAGTCCACCTTCCAAAGTGACTTTTTTTCTCCAGGTGAACTGATCTGTGTCGCCTGGAGATTGGTTGTAATAGCCGGAGATCACCAGCCACCACCTGGAGGTGGCATGTCACTACGGTCTTGTTCCATCTACCTTGGCTTCCAGTTTGCTTCTGGGCTCAATTCAAAGTGGTGGCATTGACCACTGAAGCCCTGTACAGCCTGGGATCAACATACCTTAAGGTCCACCTTCTCCCACGTGAACTTAACCATTTGCATTCTCAGAAGCCTTGCTTAACTTGATCCCACTATCTGAGGCTAAATGGGTGGCAACCCGAGAAAGGGATTTCTCAGTCCTTGCACCAAAACATTTACGAAGGAATAAATTTTGTTATTCTCAAAGGTGCCACTGGACTCCTCTTTTGTTTTGCGCCTGCAGACTAACACGGCTACCCCTCTGGGAAGATCAGTGACGCACGTGGCCACTCTTCGGTGGCAACTTTGTGCTTTGAGTAATCCTATCCGGTGACAATGCATAAAACCCTGAAGTCAAATTAAAACCGCATATCTCATAGTAAGGCTTTAAAAAGGATACAGTTGTTTGGTTTATCTACTGGTGTCATCCAGGCCAGTGCAATAAAATTGCGATATGTTGGTGATTTCACCTTCTTTTCTCCCTTTCCCCTTCTTTTCTCCCCCTCCTTAAAGTTCTGCATCTGTTTTTATCTGTCATGGAACAAAACAAAAAGGTATCAAGGGCTTTGCACACAGTCCTGTAATTTTCAGGGAGTCAGTGTTCCAAAAGGCTGTTCCAGGGTCAAATGTAGCCTCCAACAGGTCCTTCGGCCGCGCCCGCGGTCCCATCAGCACAGGTCCAGGCGCCCCTGGTCCTCCTGGCAAGGGAAGAGCAGGTGCCGCCGGGGCTCCCGGCTGTGCTGGCTGGAGCGGTTGTTGCTGGCCTGGCGGGACCTGTGGTGGTTGGCCCGGTTGGGGTGGCGCCTGTTGTGGAATCAACGGTGGTTGTAGTGGCTGCTGGAGAACTTGTGCCGCCGCCGCTTCTGCGATGCGGAGGTCTATCATTCCCGGCAATGCATCGAAGACATCAGCTACAGTCCGCATAAGCTGTTGCATGGTCAGAGTACAATGTAACATGGAGAAAAGAACACACCACCTTATGGCAGCTTGCTGACAACATTGCCTCCTAATACTGGGATTCAGGGGTTTACTGCTTCTGAATGTGAAGGTTCTGTTCATCAAACCGTCACTACCATCAGGCACCAAAGCACCTAACAAAATCTCTTTTGGGTCAACTTCTGGGTCACATTTGGGGTTGGGAAGGGATTTCCCCCCAGGGCATATTGGCTGGAAACTCTTGCAGACATTGCCATTTCTTGTTAGCACGACTTGGCTCATTTGCCTGAGTCATCTGAGTGCTGTTGGCCCACAGAACCTTCTTTCTACTTTTTTTTTTTTTTGAAAATTTATTTTCATTTTCCACCACAAACAAAAATTAACACCATATCCATTTAAAACTCATATGCATTTCAAAATAAAAAGTACATCTTTCAAATTTGAAATCTCTTGTCTCTTACTAGCGTGTATTCAGTTCTAATTTATCTTTTTCATCTTCAGCCAGTCATAGATTATTTTCCATCTGTCTCCCAAAAATTCTTCTGGCTTATTTTGAAGTAATATATTTAATTTATCCATTTCAGCTATCTCAAGCATCTTATTTTTGAGTTCTCTTATAGATGGTATCCTTTTAGATTTCCATCGCCTTGCTATCAGAATTCTGGCTGCCGTTAAAATATATACCATTATCTGTGTATGAATTTTTATTTTATCCGGTATCATATTAAGTAACCATATTTCTGGTTCTAACGGCATATTTATTTTTGCAACATCTAGAAGGATTTTAGCAATTTCCCCCCAGAATATCTGGATTTTGTCACACCTCTACCATATGTGAAGGTATGATCCTACATTTTCCCCACATCTCCAACAAATGTTCGATACTTTCGGGAAACATTTTGCCATTTTAACAGGCGTCTAATGCCACCTATAGAATATTTTGTATATGTTCTCCTTGTACGGCGTGGCTCTCATAAATTTTGATTTCCATGTTTTAGTCCATTGATTTGCTTCTATTGGATGCCCAATCTCTTTTATCCAGACAAACATAGAGGTTTTTATAGTTTCTTCTCGTAGGAAATCCTCTATCAATATGGTATAAAGTTTCTGAATAAGTTTATCGCTGGAGGATAACCAGATTTTATCAAATTCGTTTAAACTAGTATAGAATCCTGTTTTCTTATCTTCATTATATCTTGATTTTAATACTTTTTTTCCCCACCAGGATAGTTTTATGTTTTGTTTTGATAAAGCCTCATGTGTTTTTAATTCAGCCCTTTTATTTAATAGATTACCATATACTTCTTTAATTTTCCCTATTTTTAGTGAAGGTTTAGCAAATGCCTCTATCGGAGATATCTATGTTGGTAATTTAGTATATTTTTTTATTTTATTAGATTCCCAACTTTTATAAGGGAGCTTCTTATTATGTGTGTGTGAAAGTTAGAGTGAATTTTATCTTTCCCGTACCATAGGTACGCATGCCAACCCATTACTAAATCTGATCCCTCTAATGCTAATGTTCTGGTATCTTCTAGCATTGCCCATTTGGTAGTGCAAAACCTCCTTTCTTTTTACTATCCTGAAGATATTTAGTTTTTATTCTCAGTTTTTTAGACTGCCATATAAAATCATTTACAATTTTCTCCAAGTCCTTAAAGTACTTATAATTTTTAAGTATTGGTAAATTCTGTGCCAGAAAGAGGAATCTTGGAAGAATATTCATTTTTATTGTCGCTATTCTACCCAGTAAAGAGAGATGTATTTTATCCTATTGCTTTAGATCTCTGTTTATATCTTTAAAAAGTTGTAGATAGTTGTTTTCATATAGCGTCGATTAGTTGTTTGCAATCCATATTCCTAAATATTTCGCTTTCTGCACTACCTCCATTTTTGTGAACAATTTTTAGCTATGATTTTAGTTTTTTTAATATTAATTCTGAAACCAGCTAGGTTCCCAAATTCCTGAATATCCTCCAATAGGTAATTTAAAGAATATTCTGGGTCTTCTAATATAAAAATCAAGTCATCTGCAAATGCTTGCAGTTTACAGATTTCACCTTTTACATTCAACCCTTTTATCATTTCATTCTCTCTTATCCTTTCCGCTAATGATTCTATAGTAAAAATAAACAGTAAAGGAGATAGGGGGCATCCCTGTCTAGTACCTTTTTGTATTGGAATATTTTGAGTGGGTTCACCATTCACTAAGATTTTGGCACTTTGGGTATTATATATAGCTTTTATCATTGTGTAAAAGTTATTCCCACATTCCCAAACAGAATTTTTTTGTAACATATAATCCCAATTAATATTATTAAATGCTTTTTCCGCACCTAAAAGTGTTAATATCATCGGTTTTCCCGGATGCAGTTCATAATATTCTAATACGTTGATTACATTTCTAATATTATTTTGTATTCTCCTTTTTGGTAAAAATCCTGATTGATATTTATGTATTATATGAATTAACACCTTCTTCAATCTATCAGCCAAAATTTTTGCAAATAATTTATAACCTGTGTTTAATAAAGAGATAGGTCTATAATTTTTTATTTCGTCTTCTTTCGAATTAGGTTTATGAATCAAGGTTATTATAGCTTCGTTCCATGAAGTAGGAATTTTGTTTGATTTTGGGATGTTTTGTATTAACTCTTTAAATGGTTCCAATATCTGATCTTCAAATGTTTGATAAAACTCTGTAGGAATACCATCTGATCCCGTTTCCCCCCCCCCATTTTGTATCGCTTTTGTTATTTCACAAGGTGTAATTGAATCATTTAATATTGCTATCTGTTCTTTATTAAATTTACCCTTTTCCCATTTTCCTTGATAAACTTGTACTTCTCTTTTAGTACAACTGATTTTTTATAGAGGCATTTATACAAATTTTCTACTATCTCTTTTATATCTCTTTGTGAGAATTTCTCCTCTCCTCTCAGCTTACTGATTTTAGTGGGTATGTTGTGAATT